AGAGGATTCTCCCCCCCCCCTCCCCCCACAAGGTTAGACAAATCACTTACCTCAAATCTCGCTCAATCAATCAATAAGAATGCATTTCCCTCGGCTTTCCGACTCCGAACGGTCCAAATCTAGGTAAAAGCAATTACATACTATAAATATAACTACAAGAAACTAATTTGAATATTAAAACTACGACTTTAGCAAAGAATTAAAATTTTCCCCAAAAAGTCGACCCCGGGCCCACATCTCGGAATCGGGTAAAAGTCACAAAATACGAATACCCATTCGATATCAAGTTCACCCATACCAAAATTACTCAAATCCGATACAAAATTCTCGATCAAAACCTCAAACTTCAGCCTAAGGATATTTTTCACTTTTTTCACAAATTTCACAACCCAAATCCTTAATTAAAGGAAGAATAAATGATATCTTAGCGGAAATTAATCAAAAACAAGTCAAGAATCCTTGCCCAAATATTTTCTCTAAAAAACCCTCGAAATATTGCCTCAATCCGCGCTTTCTAGGTTAAAAAATGGAGAATGAAATTAAACCCTCGAAATAGGCCATTTCCTGCAGCCAAGGAGCGCTTCTGTGCATGCGCTCCTACGGACCTCATCCGCATCTACGATCAATAGGCCTCCCTGGCCTTTCCGCTTCTGCGCTTATACTTCCGCAGAAGCGACTCCAGTTCTGCGGCCTTCACGTCGCACCTGCGACCACAGGCCACCTTCTCGAGGTCCGCTTCTGCGCTTGGCCTCATGCTTCTGCTGGCCCGCACCTGCAGTCAATCTTGCGGAGGTGCAGTTGCACCAGAACTGGTGCACTTCAGCCATTCTTTAAACTTCAACTTGATCCGTTAACTATCCGAAATCAACCCGAGGCCCCCCGGGACCTCAACTAAATATACTAACAAGTCCTAAAATATCATACAAACTTATCCGATCCTCTAAATTACATCAAACAACGGTAAAAATATGAATTGCGCATCGATTCAAGCCTAATGAACTTTAAAACTTCAAACTTCTACATCTGATGCCGAAACTTGTCAAATCAAGTCCGATTGACCTCAAATTTTGCACACAAATCATAATTGACATTACGGACCTACTCCAACTTCCGAAATCGGAATCCGACCCCAATATCACAAAGTCCACTCCCGGTCAAACCTTCCAAAAATCATTCAATTTCCAACTTTCGTCAATTGACGCTAAAATGACCTACAGACCTCCAAATCAACATTCGGACATGCTCCTAAGACCAAAATCACCCTACGAAGCTATTGGAACCGTCGAAACTACATTCCGGAGTCGTCTTCATACAGTTCAAACTATGGTCAATTCCTAGAACTTAAACTCCCAATTTAGGGACTATGTGTCCCATTCCACTCTGAAACTCTCCCGAATCCGATACCAAGCACCCCGGCAAGTCACAAAATCTAAAAATAAAATAGAGAGAGCAATAAATAGGGGTTCGGGGCTAATACTCTCAAAACGACCGGACGGGTCGTTATAATTATGATTTTTTATTTCATGTGCACAAGCATCTATAGCTGGTTGATCATGAAAATTTCACTAAGAATATCATAAGAAAGTCGATGCGGAAATTATAATCGTTCCACTGATGAAATGCCTTAAATTTCTTCGAGGCAAATTAATTGGCCAAAAATTGGTTCGATTTCTGCTTTGTCATGATTTTTTTATTTTCATGTGGACAAGCATCTATAACCGGTTGATCATGGGAATTTCACTAAGATCATAAGACAGTCGATGTGGAAATTATAATTGAAAATGAAACCTCCTTCGGAGATATTGTTATCTTTTTTGGAAATTCCCCGAAAGTTTTCGCTCTAAAGGTTTTCTACCTTCACTTTCTCCCCTCTCTCTTTAGTATCTTTGTTGGTTCATTTTAGTATTTTCCTTCCTGATTTGAATTTCTTTTTGGAGTGTTGGATAGTGGGACCGATCTCTCATCCCTACTACTTATCCCATTCAAGTGTGAGGAAGGTATCAATGTAGTTGAATGCCACAACTCAAGAAAAGATTTAGCAGTTTGTGCCTAACAGCTTGAATATTAATTGGATTGTGCAACTTCATTGGCTCTCTGTTGTGTCTTCTTTGTTTTGTGATTTTTGCCTTTGCTTTCATTTTTCCTTCTTTTGTGTTTGTAATATAGCTAATGACATGAAGATTTAGGAGCTTTCTTTGTTTTATGCTAATCTTCTCCTATTAATAAATTTTCTTAGTATTAAGTTGATTATCATTGGAGAAAATTATCTAAAATTGTTATGCTAGAAAAGAGGTATTGGCGTAGCTTTGCGTACTTTGAGGAGTATTAAAAAGGGTTGGTGCCATCTAAAATCCCCCATTTGGCCATGCAGAGACCAGATAAACTAAGAGGGGTTTATTCAAAGATGCAATGGAGGAAAATTGTACAACAATCAGGGAACTCCCAAATGGTTATTTCTTATGAATTTAGCATTACAAGAGAAACTTAGAACTAAAGACAGACCAAGTAGATGGGGTGTTATTCACTACCAAACTTGTATCCTATGTAATGAGAAAAGTGAAACTATTGCTCATCTCTTCTTTGATTGTAGATTGTCTAATGAAGTGTGGAGAAAAGTATTTACTTAGCAAGGCTTCGTTAGAACTTTGCTGGACTGGCAGAATGTAATAGAATGGCCATGTGCAGTGAGGAAAGGAAATCGTACAGTAGCAGAGGTGTTCAAAATGACTTTGGCTGAAAGTATTTATCATGTCTGGCAAGAGAGAAATTTCAGGATTTTTCTAAACAAATGTAGGACGGATGGATAGATCTTCAGGTAGCTGATACAAGAGTTTTTCTGCAAGGCCAGTCTGAAGATCAAACTAGCTAGAAAAATGGAGAGTTGATATTTCTACCCTTAGTGTTATCTGGGGTAGTTGTTGTAGTTGATTTAGAAGTTGTTGACGCCTTTAGATGTTGAAAGTTGGGACTTGATGTACAACTTCAGTTAGTTTGTTTGTTTGAGATTTTGTGCATATAGTTACTTGGTAATGAATGCTTTTATTTACCAAAAAACATGAATAAATAGTCATAATATAAAATAAATAAATAAATATGAAAATATGAAAAATATTTCTTAGTCTGTGAAATTTCAGATCTTTTAGAAATGGTTGAAGATTAAGGGTCACGACAATAATGTATACATGGGGATAGGAATCAAAGAAATAATAGAAAAAGAGAAACGAAAAGAAAAGAAAAAAAGAGGGGAAAGATAAAACACTAACCAGCAAAACAGTGGCACGGGAGAAAAGGAATATCTTTCAAAAAAGCTATTTAACTTCTCATAAATAGGAGTGTTAGATGATAAGTTGATTATATCATAAATTTACTCATGTTTTTAATAACCGCGGTAAGTTCACTAGTTGTACGTAATAAATGAAAGGCACGGGTAGGAAGTCATATACCTCAGGCATATGACCAAGGCCAAGAAATTATACCAGGTGCTAGCTAAAGATAAGTCTTGTTCCATCTATAGAGATGGTGATTTCTTCACTTAGTTATCCTCGGGCTCGGGGAAGTTTTAAAATGCTTCTTTCGCGTATTATTTTGCCTGATTAGATAATTTCTCAAGTGCTTAAACGCTAGCAGCAATAACATCTTGATCACCTTCCTCTTAGTTGTTTTAGAAGATAAGGGATCTACCCTTCCCACCTTCTGATTATGACCAATTCTTCATCTATTGATGGCTAAAAGGAGAGCCTCAGCTGATATTGCTGCTGCACTCACAGTCGCTGATTCTGCCATAACTTTGCATTTCATAGACCCGAACGTTATGCTTAAAGAAGTTGCATGTAAGAGGAGAATGGTAGTACATCTATAGAAGTGACAACAAAATCAGAAACCGCCATATCTTATTTACTTAAAAGTGTTATTATACATAAATATCTGGAATTTCTCAATTGCACAGAGCTCTCATCTCTTTTATAATTCTTGTGTGTGATTATGCATGCGTGACTATTTGTGTGATAACTGATCTGCTTGTGTATACTTGAATGAAATTGCATTCCTTGGTTTTTCGCCAGTGAGGAAATCTCTATACCATTTAGCTGAAAGCTTGGGAACTCTATCTAAAGTAGAGCGATCAACATAGTACAGACCAAATTTCACCTCATATCCACTCGTCCACTCGAAATTATCCATCAAGCTCCAAATGAAATAACCACGTACATCAGCACCTTTCCTGTCAAATTCAAAACAAGGTAACAAAGTTTCATTCATTTCATTGTTTTGTCCGTGAGATCCTGTTTCAGTAAATGATGATAGATATGAGTACATTTACCTGATTGCTCGAGCCAAAGATGCAAGATATGACTTATGAAATTCAACTCGCTTAATATCATGCTGTAATTCAGCTGCTTGTGCAGTAGTAGGATTTAGGGAAGAGTAGCCTGGAATGCACCTTATAAGTCACCTTTTCAGCAAATTAAGCACAATGTCGCAATCGCTCATAACTAACATGACTAGATAACGCCAGAGGATGGGAGAAAAAAAGAAGTTAACTCAAACATGACATAATTTCAAATTTAAGAATTTATCCTCCTTGTTAGCCAGGTGGATCTTTGACTGGTTCAGGGATTCCGTTTTTAGCTCAGAAGAACGTAGATGTCAATAACGATCCAATACAACTGCTATATCACTCCTATAGTCGAAGGTAATAACTAAAAGAACCAGATATCAGTACTAACTCATCTCGTGATACTATGCACACCTGAAGTACAAATATGAATCATAATGAATTGAACACAAGGTGAATGAGGGTCGATTATTCACCATTTTCAGTAACAAACATAGGTTTGTTAGGATATCTCTTCTTCATATAGTCCACAATCTCCTCCATTCCTCTAGGAACGACAAAAAATCGAGGCATTCCTGTCTATAGGAAACAGGGAAAAGCATCTCATGAGAAGACGAAGTGAGGTTTTGGTTGTGGGGAAAGCAAAATTTAGGATAAGAAACAATTGTGTACCGGTTCTCCAATAGGAACACCATCTTTCTCTCCTAGAGTAATGAGATAGCCATGGATAGGGTGATCTCCACCAGCAATACAACTAGAATTGGAACAAACGCAGCTCGAATAAATGCAATCCTTAACATATAGGGTGCCATAGTGGTTTACTCCGATGAAGTCAATACTATCCTTGATAAGCTTTCTTTCATCTGAGGTGAATGTCGGCAGTGAACTTCCAAGATATTCGCGCATTTCTCGAGGGTAATATCCATATACTAAAGGATCAAAAACCCTGAGACAAGAGGTCAACAGCACATCAAGATTTATAGTGCAAGTTCTAGTAATAGAAAAACTTCACAGTCGCAAGTTTCAATAAAAGGCTGAACTGCCGTATATAGTTCTTCTTCTTTTTTATTACTGCCCGGTTACAGCAAAAACTTTACTATGAAAAAGGGAGCCTCCAATAGTAGTGGAATCATCCAAGTAAACAAAATCAAAGAAAATAGCCATACAGGGCAAGAAAAACACTTAGGCACGTTAGGAGATAGAGAGAGGTACTGAGGTAGTGGGCAATTGACATATTAACAGTCTAAACTTCAACATCTGAGGTAATATATGATGATCTCCTGAGTTTTCTCAAAGCTTGAGTTCACAGTAGAGTAATGAAAGGCCTATTGCCAATATGCCACTGTCAATGAATGAACGGTCTAGCTAAAGGCCAACTTTCAAGCTCGGTAAGACTTACCAAGCAGCGGTAAATACCAAAGCCCTATTAGCAGCGTCACGGTCAAAGTCATCATTCCTTAACGGTTTATACATAAATGCATGCACAACAATCCCTATCATTCCACCATGTTTGGGCTGCATATAGTAGCATCAAATTTGTGTAAGCACATGTTACACTTTTGAAGAGTTAGGTGAATAGGTGAAAGCAGATACTTGCCTGAAAATGCTCGCGATACAGTTTTGCAGCCTTGGCGTGTGCCAATAACATGTTGTGCATTGCAATAAGAGGTTCGGTATCAGAATTTCCCACTGAACAGTTGCCAAAAGGCCGGGAACAATGAGCAGGTGGGTACACTCCCCTCACATAGGCCATTTCTGCAAACATATTTGGCTCATTGATTGTGGTCCAATACTGCACTCTATCACCAAAACTCTCGAAACAAATTTGAGCAAAATAGGAAAATTCTTCCCTATAGGGCACAAAAGGGAAACAATTAAAAAGGCACATCCTTAGATTTCCATCTAATGTACCATTAAAATTTTACACAAAAAAAACATACTGCATTAGAGGACTAAGCCACCCCCCATACTTTTCCTCGAGTTCTTGGGGGTGGTCATGGTGATTGAGAGTCACAAATGGTGTTATTCCTGCAATTAAAGGCCAATTTCTGAAATCTAAGTACAACATTCAAGAATCCATAAAGTAAAAGTATCTATTAAATATCTGCAAATATTATACCTTTGAGTGAGAGAGAATCAATGAGCTTGTTGTAGAACATAATACCAGCAAAATTTACTTTACCAAACCTTCCTCCTATCACAATGCAAGATAACAGAAATTTTTAAGAAATACTATTACTGAAACGAAATAAGTAATCCGATTAAAGGGAACAAAAAACGCGCTAAGGATAAGGAAAATGGAGTGTACTAGGAAGGATTCTGCTCCATGAGATGGAGAAGCGATAGGAATTCAAGCCTAGAGAGTGCATTAACTCAACATCTTCCTGCAATAATTGTTATCACAAAGTAAATTTTGTTTCTTTTAAAAGAACTTTGTACTAATTTTGCTATTTCGGGAAGTATGGTAAAAAAACAGAAAGTCAACCAGAAAACGATGGTAATGATCATCCGCAATATCTCCAGTATCTCCATTCTTTATCCTACCTAAAACAGCGGAAAATCTTTCTCAGTACATATGCATAGAAAAGAAATATAAAAAAAAAAGAAAAAAAAGAAGAACTAGGATTCAAGAAGATATATGAAAATGGATATTTACCTTTAGTATGACTAAACACATCCCAATTACTCAGTCCTTTGCCATCTTCGAGAAATGCCCCTTCAATCTAAACCATAGGATTCAGATACATTTTTTAGAAGAATCAAGAAAGTAGAATATTTTGTTGACATATTAAAAGAAGAGCAAGGCGAGAGTTATTGGAGGGAAGGATGACGAGGGTATAGCGAAGGTGTATTGGAAACAGCCTACCATAGTAGGGGTAAGGTGCGTACACGTTATCCTCCCCACACCATTGTTGTTGTTGTAGTAGTATTATATTAATAGAAGAGCATAATTAAGAGCAGAAAGTACTTGATAAGCAGAAGTGGTAGCTCCAAAAAGAAACCCATCTGGGAATTCTGATCTCTTAACATTCTGCGGTTCCTCAAAGGAATTTACAGACACAAGTAGGAGTAGACAGACAAGAAAATAGCAGCTGAAACTGTTATTGGTGCTCTTCATTTCGGGTTTAATCACTCTAATAATTATCAACCTAACTCTGTTTTCTTAGACCCAACTTAACTAACACAACTGATTATGTGAATTGGGTCCCAAAAAAACACCAGCAATCTAAAGCTAGATGGAGTTCTGGATTTTCTCTGCCAGAAATAGTCATAACTTACAAGAGGAGACAATTGGAGAATATTGAAGTGCGTGACATCTACCGGGGCCACAGGATTCAAATCAAGATTATTGTAATTGCTGGGTCCAAACTCCAACTCGGAGTAGTACTTACATCAATTTAAAATTAGGAGTAGGTGAAGTCGTGAAGGGGCAATCAATAAAATAATTTCATTTACTAATATTACAAACCACACAAAACAGCAGGTCCAATCTTTGACATCAAATTACAGTACATTGAGGTTGTGTTTTATGTTTTTATTCTCACTAAGAAAGATGATTTCGTCCGTACACAATGGTGATCACGTTTGGAGTATTTTACTAGGGAAAGAGATGGAGGAAACGTGTTAATTTTTTATTGTAAAATGATAAACACACCAGAAAAAGTATATGATAGTTTACTCAAGCAAAAAAAGTCACGAATGTTTGACCATTCATTTTTTTCGCATATAGATGGTAAAACTATAGACAACCACCAGAGTGACCAATATAAAAAGGCCATACCGGGCAATAAAAGTGGTGTTTATATATGGGATTTTTTGGTATATATATCAGATTTTAAATTTAATTACCTAATTTTAGCTAGATTTTCTTATTTACATAGGACAATTAAAGTTTTTTATAATATATATATATAAGTTCGGTCAAATGCTATTATTTATATATAACTTGAATATAATTTTTTATTGTACAAAATTCGATCAAAAGCTATAATTTACATACAATTTTATTTTTTCTACAGAATTAGATTAAAAAAACTACAATTTACATACAACTTATATATAACTTGTATACAATTATGTTAGTTGTATATATTTTATATGCCATTTATACATCCCGACATACAAAATATATACGTTCTATTTATGTTTTCTTCTTCGAGTTTCAAAACCAATTCAAATTTTCACTAGATTCCCTCAAATGGAGATAAACTCCAAAGAAAATTCTCAATCACTTGTAATAACACCCAATTCAAATAAATAATAATTTTATCCAACCCAATTTTTGAATTCAAAACTTCAAAACTTTTTGGATGTCAATCGAGTTTCTTTCCATATATATATATATGTCAATGGAGGTTCGTCGTTGTCTCTGACATATAATAAAAAAAAATAGATGACTAGCAGTTACTTAAAGTTTCTTTCCAAACAAAGAAAAAAATAAGATCCACGAATCAGTTTAATGTAAGAGAACCGTATAAAGAGCCTTCAAGTACTGCCAATTCTTACACCCAAGTCCTAGAAAGTTGCTCCATGGCACAACGAAACCTTCAGCTAAAACCTACGATGGCATAATCAAATAGCTCGTTAATGGATGTTCCGTGCAGGCCTATCTCTACATATGTGGGATTAAGTTGGGTGGAATGGGGGAGGAAAGAGGGAGAGAAAATGGGGAAGATTTAAGTCTCATATATTATTTATACTAGTTTTTGGGTACGTGCGTTGCACTTGTAAGTCGCGTCTGTTTGTAAAAAAATTATATATCACACGAATGAACTATGTGTAATAGTAATTGATGTCGAAATGGATTGAACATGAAACTGAAACGAAAAGATGAGTGACATTACATTGATTTAACAGGTGAATTCAAATATGGTTAATATCTTCTGAACCTGCAAACGTCAATACTACAATTAGTTAAGGTCGTGATATGTATAAGATTTGTAAATATTGATAAATATATTGTATGAGTATATAACATGTTATGTTGTTGTATCTTACCTAATATCTCTTTGTAGACAATATTCTTGGTGTATGTGCCCCTTCGTCTCTTTGGTTGCTCTGTCATGACCAAAACTCTTATTGTTGACTCGGTATGTTGTACCCTTAACGTCACATAGGTCTATAATAGATTTTTCAAATATCATATTTTGGAGCATATCACCATCTTTTTCTGCTATTTCTCCCAAAAAGTTACAGTTTGATGATCATACCTGAGCTTTACAATTCAATATTATATTAACTATATTTAATACATTTGAAAAATTAATAATATGATAGTTAATGTATGATAATAAATGAATAAGTTAACTAACTTCAACTTACCTTTCGTTCATTAGCATTATTTTTCTTTGTTTCTTGTTACCATCATCTCCGATGGAAGCATTAACTTTCACTAAGATACCAAGTGTGTATGCAAAAGAATATTAATAGAGAATACATGTAAATAACTACTAAGAATTATTAAGTAAATATTATTCATAATGTAAGATTAATCAATGAATCTAAAGAAATTACCAAATATTGTTCCATTGGTGCATTGGATTGCCTCTTCGAACGAAACGAAACTGTTTGAGAAGCTAACAGTGGAAAACTGGTTGTTGCATTTCTTGACTATAGTATTGTTACTGAACACAATCTCAAAATCTTTGTGTACTGATTGAAAATTAGGTTTACAATCATTTTATGCGGCCGCGTTAATGATGTAATAAATATTGCCTTGTCCTAAATGTTGCTTCCACATATTCACTTGATCAGTGAAAAGTATTGCTTGCATTTTTGTTCCCTGTAAAGTTTTATCATAATTTAATATAGTGATTGAACATAATATGAAAAATATCGGATATAATTGAAAGATAAAAATAACATTACCTCCTCATCTACAAATGTCAGAGTCCATCGAAGGCCTTGATTTGTTTCATTTTTAATTCTTTAACTACTCCACATTGAATAAGTAAGACTTTTATTATCCACTGAGAATCAGATCTTCTCAAATTGTTAAGTAGCACACATTCGTTTGCAAATTCAGTTTCAGTTTCAGTTGCTATTGCAAGTACCTGAAATCAAGTGCGAATAGGTGGTCTAATATCAAAAGGGCATTAAAGTCATAGAAGACATTCATAATTATAAAAATTTTATTTAAAAGAAGTATTTAGACCAATTATAAGGATAGCTAATGCACTAGCATATATTAATCCAACCACAATGTGCCTACTACTAAAATTGAGGATTAATAAGCTTTTTATGACATATACAAGAACACGCCTGAAAATTATTATCACATATACAAGAACACAACTCATTGATCAGGTATAATTTTTATGCACAGTAAAAACTAACTTTTCAATAGTAGCATAAATAACAAATAAAGCCAAAGCAGTTAAATTAGTATATAGTTTATGTAAATTAATAATACAGAATATCCCAATCTCAAATTTTGAAGAGTAACAGAAAAATCATAGTTGAACTTCAAGAAAGCTACATAACTTTCAGAACATAATATATTACATCATAACAAGAAGATTATATGAAAATATTATTTATGAGATCGATAAGGAGAATTGTTTACCTGAACCAATGAAAACTGTCAAAACTTTGGGTAGATTCAACGACGCTAATTGTCAAGGGCTATTCTTTAAGAACACAAATTTAAAATTGTGATATGTATACTATAGTCAATTAGAAGAGGTAATAGATTTAATTTTGTGAGAAAATATGAGCAACTTCAGTGGCATAACAATTAGTAATTAAAATTATACATCAACCATAGAGTGTGGCATAATAATTAGTAATTAAAATTATATATCAACTATAGAGTGATAAAAAACTTAAATTAATAAAATATTAACTTGATATGAGTTAGAATACCTATCAATTTTATGTGATGAATGCAATGACCCAAACAACATGTACAATATTTGTAAGTGACTTTAAACCAATGATCATACATGAGACATAAACCAATGATCATATATGAGACATATAGTTGAATTATTACATAACTTCAAGAATATAGTACAAGATAGAAATTTACCGAAGTGACAAGCAAATTCGCTATGGAGACGTCAATTTATGACAAAGAATATAGAATAATAGCTTCTTTTATAGTTGTAAAATTCTAGAAACCTAAATTGATTCCAAAATAAAGAGTAAATATAGAAGGGACAATCCTAATACGGTATTGATTCCAAAACATTGGGAAGAAACGAAAGGAGAAGCCTAATTTGGTCAGTAAACTTTGAAGAAATTGAGTCCTAAGCTAAGACCAAATAGACAATGGAATTTGAATTCCAAACGGATCAAAAGGGACGTGTCCTAAACTAAGACCAAATAGATAACGGAATTCGAATCCAAAGATGATCAAAAGGGACGTAAAGGCAAGAATCCTAAACAGGGTAAACTCTGGGCAAGTAGCCGATAATTAGTTTTTTTATTTATTTTGAAGAAAATAGTTATTACATTTACAATTATATCAAACATATAATACACTTACGAAGGGTAAAAAAGACGAACGACATTTTGATAGGGCCTTCGTACTTTTAATATAGTATAGATATAATTAATAACTTATATATCAAATTATAATTAAGTGACCTATCTAATAAAAGTAAATAAGTTTTCAATATAGTATAACTAGGGTAAAAATTTCAGTCGACAAATCCAGTTCAAATTTAATGAAAATATTAGCCGAGTTGGTCACTATTTAGATTTGTCACTATTTAAATTATATAGAAAAAGTAGCCACTTATTATTGAAAAAATATAGTCCGGACAAAAACACCTCTATCTCCAAGAACGATTACTGAACGTTGAATGTGTATATCTTCAAAATCCAGTAATTGTTCCTTAAGTTTGAATGGCATGAAGCAACAACTCTCATTTTTTGAAGTATAATGTGAATTCAAAAATCATGAATCGTTCGTAGATTTTGCACAATTAAAGGTTCAAAAACTAGTAACTTTTTCCTAGATTTTAGGTTTAAAGGTTAAAAATTGCTGATGTATCAGTGAATTCAAAAATCATGAATTGGTCCTGGATTTTCCTGGACTTTGCATTAGTAAAAGTTCAAAAACCAATAATTTTTCCTAGAGTTTGTATTTAAATTGCTGAAGTGTAACGACCCGACCAGTCGTTTTGAGAATTTACGACCCATTCGACGGCTTAACGTCTCGAGCAACTTTGTATTATGTATTATGTATTATGTGTTATGGCTTGCGTGTGTGGTCAACTTTGGAAGAATGATTCTTATTTTAGAAGCTTAAGTAGTAAGAGTTGACC